GAGCCAGCAACAACAACAACAACAACAGCAACAACTACTAGAGCGGCAACAACAACAACATCTACAGCCCAAGCACAACAAAACATTTCACTTCCTATGCCGGTGAGAACTAAATGAAAAAAAATAAGAAAAAAAAAAAAAAAAAAACATTAACAAAAGCGAAGCGACAAAGAACTGTGCGGAGAGGTGGCAACGCTCGCAGGTGACTACAGCTCAAGCTGGGGGATTTGGCTGTGGGTATTTTCTTGAGTACGGTGACGCATTCAACAGCTTGGAAGTAATAGACCCGAACAAAAACACAGCCCAACACAGTCAACAATTGACCAAAATAAAAATAAAAAAATAATGAAAAAAAAAAACAAATAAAAACCAAACAAAAGCCCAGCAGAATAAGTAAAAGGGCGCAGGAAATATGAGAAAATGCGAAAAACAAACATTCAAGTGAGGAAGATGAAAATACCCTAGTTAAGGAAAGTCACGATGCGACAATTTGTATTTCTGATTCTGAGTAAGGAAGGTTTTGAATAAAAAAATAAATAATACATAAACAAAAGCATCATTGTTAGGTGATTATAAAGTTGTCTTTAAGAGGCACGGCTTAATATAATTATGCTTTATTTATAAAATAATTTATTTAAAACGAAAATTAATCTTCAATATATAATTTTAATTGTGAACATTAGATAAAAACAAACTCAGATTTCTATAAGCGAACTCGGTTGTTCACAAAACGGAATATAACATTCACTTCAACATATTTATATTTTCTATATCTTATATAATATTATATATTATATAATTAATCAAAAATGTAAGTTACAGGGCTGAGTACAAAACAGACATTTTTCTTCCTCTTTCGATTGCATTATTAAATCGAATCCAGATGAAAATATTTAAATATTCGGTTGCTATCTCTCTCTCATCTTCTTGCAATGCGTCGCATATTTTCGTGAAAAGTTATCACACCCTTTGCTGGCATATCAAAAGGGTATACTTGAAAGTCTCTTTTGATTGTATGTGGGCAACTAAAAACGCCTCGAGCACAATGTATGTGTGCTTGACTTTAACAAAAGCAGCTGCTTAAATCAATTACTGCAGCCAAAGGACACTTAATTGGGTTCTGGCGAGTGTTACAGTCCTTCACTCGTTTATTCATATACACTTTTGAAATCAATTGATACAGCTGCAAACCAAAGTGCTAAAGTTTTCAGCTCTTAATGTTTCAATCAATCAAAAGGGCATTTTTTTATCTAAGGCCCATAATATTGAATACCATCAATAACAATAATTTTCATAAATATGATAAGACATAAATCACAAAGTAGCAGGCGCCACAAAGTGCCAAGCGGGAGCGGAAGCCAGGGCAGGACCTGCGCCGGCTCGCCTGGGCGCTGCAGCCCAGGATATGGGTTGTCACTTGGTCATGCGAGGCACGCGCGCGCCTCAGAATAATGCGGTGGCGGCTGGCGGGTATTGCGAGTGCCAGGGGCACGCCAGCTAAGCAGCGGGCCCCCTCCCGACCAGAGCAGACGAGACCAGACCAAACAGAACATGGTACACACAGGACACAGGACACAGGACGTCTGGCGACGCCGTCACGCGGCGCTGTCATAGCGCAATAAAAATAAAAATCTAATTAGTATGCCGTTGACAGTTTAATCGTGATTACGCTGGCAAAAATTCCAACAAGCCAGCCAAAAACAGCAACAACAAAAAACAAAAACAAAAAAAACAAAAAAAAAAAACAACAACGACAAAGAGCAAGAGGAAGAGGCAGAGCGAGAGTTAGGGTGAAGCGGGAATCGTCAGCATGCCAACAGTTGATTTTTGTTGTTCTCCATTTTGTTGCTGGCCCTGGGACGTTGTGCTTGGTATTTCCGGCAGTCGCCGGCAACGTTGCGTGTCTGCCGCAACAACTACATGGGTGTGCAAAAATGTGTGTGCGTGCGTGTATGTGTATGTCAAAAGTGTAATGCTGCACAACAAGTGAAAGGCGCTGGCGATCACATGAGCTACCACAGCCAGCAAAAGGCTAAGCAAAAATATCAAAAATAATAAGCCAAGCTAAGGCGAGGGGCGAACAAGAAGTTTAAGACCCCCATTAAATAAATCAAAAGAAAATTAAATTTAAAATAATATGATCATTTAATTATTATTAAATGAATGTAGTATTATAAAAAAGAGGTTAATAAATAAGTTAAATAAAATTGAAAAATAAACATATATTTAGAAATATTTTGTACATAAATAATAAAAGAAATTAAACTTAATAAATTATAAAAATACAATAAATAACCATAAAAGAAAAAAACAAACAAAATAAAAATGATTAACAAATAAGTTTCATCAAATTAAAAAATAGAAATATATTTAAACATATATTGTGTATAGAAAAAGTAAGACAAATTGACAAGCCTTATTCAAAAAAGCCGCCTTTGGCGTTTGTCCAAGATAAAGCCTTAGGACCCAACCAGGCTTTGCGAAATAAATAATAAAAATGTATGCTATTTTTCATTCAATACAACAAACATTTTTAAAAAAAAATGTATTTGAAAGAGTTCATCAATAAGTTTAAAAAAAAAGTAAGATAAAAGGATATTTAAATATATGTTGTACATAAAAAATAAAAGAAATTGAAATAAATAATATAACTTTCATAGTTTATTGGAAAAAATAATAAATAAATAAATAAATTGGTAAAAATTAAACAAAAAATTGTATTGCCTCTATATAAAACATTAATTAATATATAAACAATCAGTTAAATACATAAAGAGCTCACATATTTTTTTAGCTTGGCCAAGCTCATATTAGTCAGTTTAAATTGCAGAATATTTTTTGACCATATTAGTTGGACACACACAGTCAGAAGGGTAGGTAAGAAGCTAAAATATTGTTAAGAAGGAGCTGTAACAGCTTGAAGCAAAGCAATACAGACGAAGAACATGGATAACAGCCTAGTACGTTCAGCTTTTAAAACATTGAAGATGTTCAAAATAAATGTTAAACTTGATTCTATAGAATTCCATATTGGACCTGTTTTGCAGATCGCTCTTCTTGAAGAAGAAGCTAATAAGAAAAATACCTGAATCACGAACCTCAAGTAACTTGTGATATTTCGCACTTTAAAATATGTAAGCTTTAAATACAAAATCCATACCAATAAATCCGTAATATTACTATTGGCATAAAATAGATTGGTGTAGTATGAGGCCTTTTACAAAGTGTATTTAGGGCGCGGCACGTCTAAATTAATATATTTTTTTCAAATATGTACAAGTTGTAAATGTAACCTCGCGTATAATTTTTGTGTGCAACATACTCGTGACACACACCCGCGCACTTACACACACACACTCCCACCAACATGCCACATCACACACCCACTAACCAGTGCCCGCTCTTAGTTGGCCATTGAAATGCGTGTCTAGTGAAGGATATGCGCGACGTGATTGAAATTTTTAAACAAGCAACGTTGCCATGCTTTGCCATCTGTGTGTGTGTGTTGGTGTGTGAATGGGGGAGTGTGTGTGTGGGTGTGTGTAGGCTGTCTAAAAATATGACCAACTTGCTGGCACGTCATATGGCCGCATGTCAGCCAAGTCTCAACAGAGTCAAAATCAAGCTGTTGTATAGTATTGGCCTAGACCGGAAACGGAAGTCGCTTTGGTGAATTGCCTATAGCCAAGCCCTCCACCTCAGGTACTCTTGTAGTTGGCGAAGCATTAATAGACGACATTCAATTTCAATGCCTTATGCAACGACTTTTTAGTTTTTTAATAAAGATTTGCTAAAAGGAATGCTCCTCATAAAATTGGTTCTTGTGAAGGAGCCGCCTTGGCAACTGAGGCTATATATAGTTATACACATAATAACCAAAAGTCTGTCGTTAAAAAGCGTAGCTGCCCAGCGGAAATATAAAACGTTATTAAAGCTACCGGAAATGCAGACAAAGCGACAACTCATTGCCGCCATTTTGCCTAAAGTGTCAGACGGCGACGATGATAGCGGAAAAGCTGAAAACTGGAACTGAAATGAACTCAAGTGAAAGGCGTAGCAGCAGCAGCAGCGGGTGACAAGAGGGGCGGGGCGTGGCAGAAAAACAGCACGCACAGAGCACCAAATTACAGTACGAAAAAAAAGAATAAAATAAAAAAAGAAAGTGCTGTAAAATAATAATGAAAATTTTTATGAATGGCGAACAGAAAAAAAAGTGAGCCCAGCTGAACAAAAGAGCTTTCAGTGTTGGAAATTCATAAGCGACACGAAAAGCAATCGAAATCAAACAAAATTATTATAAAAGCATTGACTAATGTGGGGCAAATGGCGAGTGAGGCAAATACCTGAGCATTACAAATGTTACAAGCCAAAAGGATTTGAATAATAAAGAAGTTAGCGTACAAATTTAATAGGGTTTAAGAAAAAACTGTTGAAAGATTATTCAACACGATTTCTTAGCCAAAAAGTTGGAATGCTCATATTAAAATCCCTGAAGGTGCATAACATATTCTGATTGAGCCTTAAATCCAAATTAATTAATAAATTATTATTCAGAAGTTTCTAATATCGCAACCTTATCTCTGTATCAAATAGTTTTAAATATAACAATTGTCCTGGCCTATTTAATTTTGTAATAAATACATTTTTACATACACTTTAATGAAAGTGAATTCTTCCATTCCCATTGTCATTTTGCAACACTGATTAATTTGTGGTTTTTAGTAGTTGATGTCATGTTGCATTTATGCACACACAGAAGTTTGAGGTTGTTTATGACATTTGCTGTGGTTGTTCAATTTGTTTTCAATTTGCCAGAGGGCGGGCCAGTTGGTTTGGCCAAAACGAACCCATTGTGTGCAGTTATGAGGCCTGAAAGGCTTGACCACAATATTATGAAACCACAAAAAAAAAATCGTGACCCAGAGAACCAGAATAACAGAATATGATTTTAGGGTGTAGTTAATTGTTTGAATAGAGAGCTGGTCACACTATTCACTCACCTGGCAGTGTTGTGAGGCAGGCAATGCAAATGATGAAAACCTTGCACGTTTTTATCCCCGTCAGCTGCATGCTTTTAAATGCGATTAACAGATTAAGCGTTTATTATTTATTTATTTGAAGTGAATTTGTTGTTTAACTGTAGTTTGTTTCTACGTTTTTCGGCCGCGACACTCGCTTTTAGCCACAACGATTTGCAGCCATATATGCGAACAATATCCGTTTGTTGAAACCGCAGAAATCAATTTTTACATTTGCAAGCTCCTGTTTTTGTTTACTATTTTTTGTTTGTTTTGTTTTAAATTTACTCGTTTTTTTGCTACCCGCAATGGCAATTTCCTTTTTTACTTTGTATATTTTCCTTTTTTGCTGGTCGCTTTTCTATTTTGCGGTTACATTTAATGCATATACATATATGATTTTTGCAATCGCTTTTGTCAAATTCCGTTTTGTGCTTTGCTTCAATTGCCACAGCCACAATTAGCCGTCCGCTGTACAGTGTCTCACATACGTATTCGCATTGGGTTGCCTCGTGTAAATACGTTTGAGGTTAGCAGAATTGTGAATTCTGCATGCAACTCGATTTGGCTATTTGCATTTTTCATATCCTTTTTGCCCTTTTTGCAAATTCATTTCCTGTTTGCACTAACTTCCACTATATGTCGTTAAGCGGAAAGTTTTTGCGTCTTCTTTTCTCTACTTTTTTCTTGTCTGATTTTTCCCTTATACGATTTCGATTTTTCCAGTTGTCATTCACTTAAATGCTGCGAACAGATTGTGTTTACATGAGTTCTCCTCAGCTGAAAGCATACCAATAAAGCAGAAAATATTAGTCATTTTTAGGTTTTAGTTGGGTTTACCTAAATGGAAGTATTAAATATTGATTATATATAAATTTTAAAGTTTTTTATTTTATTTTTTTAATTAAATTAAATTTAATTTACTTATAAATTAAATTCTGTTAAATTTGAATCAATTTTGGACTAACGATTTAACGAAATTCAAATATTACAAGTAATATAATTATTCAACTATTTGGCTTACATTAGAGTTATTTTTGAACGAACGATTTAATAAGCAAACAATTTTCAAAATTATTTTATTACAAATATTTTTGGTTAACATTAATAAACTATTTCAAATAGTTTTTAATATGAAAACTATAAGGCTGCATGTAATAAAAACAAGTATTTGTAAGTTCGTAAAAAAAAATTTTAAATTTCTGAATTGAAAATATAAAAAAATTATGTTAATTTTTCATCTTTCTACAAAATTTCAATATTTCCATTACTTAGCTCAATGTTTAATAAATCTTTTCATCGTAGCCAGTCAGAAGCCTCTATTCAACCGAACTCAACTCAACTCCTAAATCATTGGTATTGTCCTTAAGCTGCACAGGCTTAGCATACGCAGGCGAAGTAAGAGAAGACAATAAGAGAAGAAAAACAGTGAAAACCTCACAGTGCATTTTCCGACTGATTTGAAAATCCAAATGTTGCCCATTAGCAAACCAAATACGCACAAAGGAAAATCTGCTGCCGAATGGTAAAACTTCAACTCCATCATTCGCAGTCACGAACCGAGCCTTAAAGCCGCCCCTACATTTGAGATGGGGAGACACGAAGGATTAGGGGCTCTTCCCTCTTGGTTGAGTCTACATTTGGAATTGGCAAAATCGAAGCCATGAAATTGTACAACACGATTCTCACATACCGTACATGACACCATTTTGCCCAATGATATGGCAACGGCTTTTCGCATGCATATGACGGCGCCCTGGTGTAGATGTCACGCCTCCCCGTGCTGGCTTCTTAGCGTGCCACATGCCGCATTGCTCGTGCAACTCGGTTGGGTGGCTGGGCCAAAAAATTCACTTATGGAAATCGAAGAATCTCGTTGCCAGCTTTTGTTTCCAGGCAGCGACTGTCCGCGACCGAACTGAAAACTAAACTCATATGAAGTATCAACATTCAGTATTCAATGTAAATCCTTTAAGCTGAAAATGCGCTTGAGAGTTCAGCACACCAAACAGACACACGCCCACACACACACACACAGAATTTGTATCTGTGGTTCTGATTGGAAAGTGAAAAGTAACTCTGGAGGAGCCCGCTGCCAGACTCCCATGTGGCACGTGGTGACATGCAACGTTTTCCGAGTTTATATTTTCCGTTTTCTTAGATTTAATGTGAAATGCCAGCTTGAGTTATTATCTATACTGAAGTGATAGTATCTTTAATAAGAATTTACTTGTTTCTTGCAGATAAGTTTAAGAGTCTTGTTCTTTTCCTTACTTATTTGACTTTTCTCAAGCTGGCAATGGCTAAGCTCTTTGCATGAATGAAAGCAAGCAAGTTGGCATATAATCGTCACGATAGTTCTATTTACTACCTCAAATTCTACCTTTACTAGCTTGCATAAGCCGCAAAATTAAGCAACAAGTTTTCTTGAATTTACTTTTGTTGAAAAATATTTATATATAACTCTTCATTTCATTTAACTCCGAACTAAACGTATCTTCAATAATATATATTTTTGTTTTATTTTTTTCTGCTAATAGGATTAATTAATTTCCGAAAATGTTATTTTCTGTCTAAAAAGTAAATATTAAAGGCTTGAGATACTTTTTATTTTATCAAAGTAGAAATGTATCTATGTAGGGGAAATGTAGTAAAAGAGACCAAAGTATTTAAACTTTAAAGCTCATTTATTATACTACAAGCAACTTTGAATAGGTTTTTTGTACAAATTCTTTTAATAAAAGTGAAAGATCCATAAATAAATATAATTTTCATATAATTTAAACTCTCTAATATGTCTATTCATATATCTAAATTTACTTTCTCAGATCAAAGTCTGCGCACAAATCGCGAAGCATCGTAAAGAGCTGATGTATGTTCACTTTTGGTAAGGACTAGTAGCTAGTAATGCCTCTGCAACATGTCTTTCTCTACTATCCATCTCACTCCCCCCCCTTTCGCTCTTCATCTCTCCCATATTCATCAGTCACAAAATTTACAAATTCCACAACATAAAACATATTTTCTTATACAGCTGCCAGTGGAAATCCAATGAGAAGTAAGGCAAAGTGCTTAAACTTTTTTCCATCTTTTTTGTTTTATATGCCAAAAAATAAAAACCAGCAAATAAGAAGAAGCAGCAGCAGCAGCAGCAGTGGAGAAAAAATAGCAAAATAGGAGCTCAAAATTTATTTGCAAACATTTATTATAGTTACTTTGTTTTATTCGCTCGTAGAGTACTTTTGCTTGTTAGCTGGGTGGGGTTGCCCCCCGACTAGAGGTGGTTGGGTGGGGAGGGCAACGACTAGGGGTTTGGGTATTGGGGGTTTTTTACTTTTTATGCTGCATTGTTTTATAGCCATTTTGTTGTTGTTGTCGTCTGGGTAATGAAACGCACCGCAAAGTTGATAAAAAGACGACCACAAAAAATGTACGAATGGCAATGTAACAGTCTGTCGGAGATGGGGTGTGCAGGCTTCCACCCAACCCCGTCGATTAGGGGGAAAACAAATTAGTTTAGCGATAAGCAAGTTACAAAATATGCCAAAGCAGCATACTTTCTGGCGGCCATCAAACAAAGTGGCGCTCTTGATTAGCCCAAAGAGGGTACACTCTTATATTCAGCAGTGTAAGGGGCGCAGGGGCGGCATTGAGGTGGCGAGCGGGTCTTGCTGTAGTCTGTGGGCAAATACAATCAAGCGGCAGACGTTACGTGAAAATGTTGAGCAGCTGTCGATGGAAAATGCAGCGGAAATAGCACTAGACAAACACAACCAGCGACTTTGCCCAGAGTGCGACAGACAGAGAGAGCGAGAGCGAGAGAGAGACAGAGAGAGCGAGTGGGAGAGAGTGTGTGATAGAGAGGGGCAGTTCGAGCAAGAGCGCGCTAGCGGCGTGTCTGTAATGCGCCTTTGCCCGAGTGCACTGTAAATAGCAAAGCAATTTCCACTGTAAAATTAACAAGCGCCAAACCGCAACAGACGTGGCTGCTCGGGGGGTCGCTTGGCTTGCTGGGGCAGGGGGGGGGGGTGTGGTTAAGGTATTGCCATCTTCAGCCAATGCATGTGTGTGTGTTAGTCTTAGTTACATGGCAAGTGGCTGCTGTGCAGCATTTGGCACCAATCCGTTTTTGGCTGATCCAAGGCGCAAAATAAATAATGAATTTTCTTAGTCTACCCCCTCTTGTCACGCCTCTGGCTTGCTAGTACACTTGTTTATTCGCCTTTTTAGGTATTTTAGCTGGCCTCACACACACACACACACACACATCCAAATACACACAAGTCTGCAATTAAGCTGCCTTGGCTATTATGCAGCTGAATGAGCCCGACTGCTTAAACTGTTTTTCACAGGCAAGAGTGTGTGTGTGTACGTGTCTATGTGTTTTTTGTGTGCCTGCAAAATGTGCCTCGACTTGAATCAGCTGCCCAAATTGCTGCTCTTTTTTCTATGAGTTGAAAGCAAGCTTAATACAAAATGTTTAAAAATAAAATGAATAGATTTATCAAAAAACTAAATTTCGATGTACTTTGATGTTCTATTTCTAAAAAGGTTTAATTAAAAACCAAATATAAACAGTTGCAGGGAGAAAGATATTTTATAATATAAATTATACTTGGAATAAAAGGACAATATGTCGGAATTGTTTAAATTTTACGGAAAACACGACTGGTCAATTTTTTTGTTGTTTTTAATTGGAAAAAGTCCGAATGAGATAAAAGATCTATTATTATTATTATTTGTTATTAATTATTTTAATCATGAATTTTAAATTCATTATAAGTATTATTATTATTATAGTTCTTATTCAAAAAATTTTTTTATTTTTTATAATAAGTTTTATTGTTATAGTTATTATAATAATCATTTCAATTATCGTTTTAATTATCATTTTAATTATCATTTTAACTATCATTTTAATTATCATTATCATTTTCATCACCACTATCATTATCATTATCATTATCATTATCATTATCATTATCATTATCATTATCATTATTATTATCATTATCATTATCATTATCATTATCATTATCATTATCATTATCATTATCATTATCATTATAATTATCATTATCATTATCATTATCATTATCATTATCATTATCATTATCATTATCATTATCATTATCATTATCATTATCATTATCATTATCATTATCATTATCATTATCATTATCATTATCATTATCATTATCATTATCATTATCATTATCATTATCATTATCATTATCATTATCATTATCATAATCATAATCATAATCATAATCATTATCATTATCATTATCATTATCATTATCATTATCATTATCATTATCATTATCATTATCATTCTCATTATCATTATCATTATCATTAGCATTATCATTATCATTATCAATATTACTTTTAAGTTTAATTTTATTAATATTCTTATTATTATTCTAATTAATATTTATTCTACTTTTAATTAAGAGTTGTAGTAAAACTATCTTTTTGCCCAATTTAAAGCGTGGGATTTAAGCCAGTAACTTTCATGCCTAGCCAGCCAGCAGCTTTATGCTATGAAATGAATTACTATTACTAATAATAAGAAATATCGATAGCCCGACCAGCATTGCTAGTAGCAATGCCACATTTTCGGTTTGGCTTAAAGCTAAAACTGTTTTCATTCGAAATTATGTATTCTCGGATGACACTTTCAGTAAAGCGCACTATTCAGCTTTTTTCATGCGATCAACATTTCAAATCAATTCAACGTTCGTTCAGCAACGTCCCTTAAGCTTATCAAATAGGCT